AGAGTTGAAATGATTGATTATGTAAAGAGCCCAAGGCTCTATAAGTACATGGCAAGGTGAGAGAGAATGGATGAAGGGGGAATTGGAGGGAATCCCCATTGGGATCTCCGGAATCTCCAATTGGGTAATTGGAGATTGTGGGGATCACAATTGGGTGAGGTTGGGATTTGTGAGTACACCCCAACCCACGAGAACATTCACAACCTAAACTAGTATATAAAAGTACAAATACAAAAGTGGTATTTGCAGTCTATTTCTAACACCCTCCCCGAACCGACAGCCCGCGCCTCCCCCAGCGCCGCCTTCTCCTCCTGTCTACGGCCCTTTGTCCCCGGCTCATTTCTCCCCTCACTCTCCTCATGTTTCTCCTCCGTTGTCTCCTGGCCCGATACCTCCCTCCCACTAGTGCTCTCACCATGCCTCTCATGCTTGGCTTGTCTCTCCTGTTCAATGCTCCTACCCTATGTTGCTCCGTTCTCACGCGTCCCGTGCTCCTCCCACTCTTGTTCTCCTGTCACCTCCTCAGTCGGCCCTCACTGTCTCCTCTCGTCCTCTTTCTGACTTCCTCCGTGCTGCTTGTCCTCTTGTTCCTCGTGTCCTAGCCTCTCTGGTCACCGATCCGTCCGTTCCTGTCTCCAGTCTCGACGCTCTTGTTGCTGCTGTTCTGACTTTGCCTCTATCCGCCGCCGCCATGACTACGCCACCGCTCTGGTCTCTCACCCTGCCCATCCTCCGTCCGTTGGGGGTGCACTTTCCCTTGGCAGTGACGTCCTAGAGGACAGGCACTACGACCTAGGTTTCCTGTCCGAGGCCGCTCCTCATCTCTGCTCCATGCTGCTAGCCCCTGAGGGTGAACCAGACGCCCTTGACATCCCGACCCTTCGCACTTATGCTGAGGCGATTTCGGGACCCTGGGCCTCTCAGTGCATTGCTGCCATGGACGCAGAGATGGCATCTTGGAGATCCACCGGCACATACGTCGACGTAGTTCCCCCACCTGGGGCGAACGTAGTCGATGTCCGGTGGCTCTTCAAGGCGTGCTACGTTGCTAGAGGTTTCAGTCAGCGCGAGGGCGTTGACTTCTTTCAGACCTTCGCCCGGACCTCGAAGATGACCACTCTTCGGGCACTGCTTCATGTAGCAGCACAGCGCGACTATGAGCTTCACTCGCTGGAATTCTCCCCCGTGTTCCTCCAGTGCAGAATGCACGAGCAGATCTACCTGCGCCACCCGCCAGGCCTCTTTGGCTCTTTCCCACCTGGGACTGAGTGGTTCCTCCGGTGCCCGATGTACGGTCTGCAGCAGGTGCCTCGATAGTGGCATAACACGTTGCGTGCTACACTGGCAGACCTTCAGTTCTTTCCGTCCTCTGCTGAACCGCCTCTCTTCATTCGCTCGGGCCAGACTCCGTTTTACAGCCTAGTCTACGTCGACGACCTGGTCTTCACAGCTGCAGACATAGACGCAATGGCCTTGATGAAGGCCGAGCTGCTGAGGACTCATAGTTTTCCCCGCTACTCTAACATTAACTGAGGAGGTGCAATTAAAAAACCCAGGTTCAATCTTGTACATATACTTTCTAGCATTTCGAAAGTTGTACATTTGCTTCTGATGGATTCCCAATCACATTATCGAGTAATGTGGGCCCACTTTTCTCCGAGCACTTTGCAAAATCTAGATTTCGTCCTATTATGGGGAAAGACTGCCACCTGGCAAAGATCCATCCCACCCTTTAGGAGCGATCAACCCTTCGTTCCGCACTCAACTCTCCGTTTTTGGATTCCCATCTGTTTTTCATTTCCGGGTCCCCCAGTTTTTCCTGAGATGTTTTCCCGCAGCCCACTTCTGTTTTCTCGATCCCTTCCTTAGGGCGAATTCCTACGAAGTAGGATCGGAATCAGAAACACGAATTTCATTATTGATCTCCTTGGCTGTCTATTATGCCAATATCAGAAACGAGGGCAGCCACCTCAGAAACGATTGTTGATCTGCATGTAGTTGAACGGCAGGATTGGGATCCTACTTCATAGGAATTCGCCCTTACTCGCTTCCCGTCTTATGGTTTCCTCGGGGAAAACTGGAGAAAACACACTACGGTAATGTGTCTAAAACAGGATACCACAATTAAGACGGGTCCTGTGATTCGACGACCACAATAAAAGACCGACCCAGATAAATGACCCACTGGGTCTAAAAGAAACAGGTCCTTTTGTTGGGATTATGGGAGTATCTAGGTTGCACCAATGAACATACTCATCGAAGTTAGATCATAGAGTGGGTAGGGTAGCGTACCGTAAATGCCCGGATATAAGTCTTGCTTAATTTAAGCCCCAATGGGTATTTTTGGCGGTGGGGTCTTAAACGCAATGGTGTGACTAATCGTACCCCCCCCCTCCCCCCTTGATGGTGTAGACGGTATAAGACCCCCTGGCTCGTTTTTCCCACTATATAAACCACTATCACTGCAATTAGTTACGTTAAAACATTAGATGCACATGACACAACATGATACCAGTCAGAATTCGTACGCAACCTGTCAGCTACAGCAAACTAGAGCACGCCTTCACACATTCTAGCAGAAAATACTACAGCATGTTCCAGAAAACATCGTACTAGATGTTGCGATATTTCCCACCATCCTCATTCTCACTATCGTCATCTTCTTCCGCGGAGTCGCCAGAGTCTTCGACTGTGGCGTTCAGCTGCCGAGCGGCTGTCATACGGGGCAACGGTTCGAGTGCCTCTGGTGCGGCGCTCTGCTCACCCCTGGCAGACATGGGGTTGATGCCGCACAGCACCGCTGCAACGGACGCGTCGATGTCGTCGAAGTCATCTTCATCCAGCGTCACCTCTTCCGCCATGTACTCCTCCTCAGCCACCTCCACCTCCTCAGCCTCCTCCTTCCCCTCGTCCTCGTCCTCCTCCTCCTCCTCCGCAGCCAGCTGTGCATTCTCTGCCTCCTCCGGGACGTTCGTGGAGAAGGAATTGTCGCCCTCGGTCCCCACAGGGCTGACGTCGTCAGTCACGTCCACCTCGTCCGGCGCCAAGGTCTTCAGATGGCACAGGATCAGGTGGTCTTTGCTCCCATCGAGGACACAGGATATGCCCCTCACTTTGAATGCTTTCTGGATGAGGGCCACTGGGACCGCCGCCTAGCACTTGCCGACCCAGCGCAGCACTTCTTCAGGCGGGGGCTTCTGGAGGGTAACCTAGATACATGCGCAATAACAGAGCGCGCTTCCATCTCTGGGTACAGTGAGCGGCGGCCCGCACCGTGGAGCCGCTTCCGACAGGAGGCCGCATTCTCGAGGCATCCGCGGTCCTTCATCCAGCGGCGAATGCTGGTGGGCTGGACACCCGCCTTCTTGGCGGTAGCGCGGACGGAGAGGTTGTTGGCGTCCATGTACTGCAGCCAGCAAACTTTCTCCTTCACCGTGTGGGAACACCGCAAACCTTTCGTTGGGCGGCAGCGGAGAGGAGGGGAAGCATCATGGTTCACCTCCCAATCTTCGCGCGAACGCCTGTCAGGTGGGGTATACAGGAACACAGAAATTGGGGTTGGGCCCATCGTCCTCGTCGTCAACGTCGTCGACGTTTGCTAACATATTTGCAACTCCTCATTCAAGACCCACCCCCTAAATTCTCCAGGGTATGATTCAAGACCAGGCCTGTCGTTATCAGGGTATTTTACCCTGATTCCCTGATTTCACAGGGTATTTTTTTGGCCAACCCTTAATTTTCAGGGTTGGGCGTTTTTGAACCCTAACCTCTTCAGGGTTGTATGTCTGTGAACACTGAGAATTTCAGGGTTTGCGTTATCCCAACACTGAGTTTTCAGGGAGTAACGCGTACGAACCCTGAGTGCGACATCCATGTGGCTCACAATGCGGAAATTTAGGCGAAGTCCCCAATCTCCAGAGACATTCCCCCCCACATGCAACAACCTACAAAAATTGGTGAAGTCCTCAAACATTCCCTCACACACCAAGCAACCCACAAAAATCGGCTAAGTCATGTGTCGTACAGACATCCCCCCTACACACTAACAACAACCCACAAAAATTAGCTAAGTCTATGAAAATGTAACGGTCAAGATCGATTGCGATCGTTTCGACATACTTAAACCGTTAGATGGTCACATTGATCAACGTCCAAGATCTCCCAGCCGGGGCGCTGCTAGGGCGCGAATTTTCTCCGACCGCCCTATTACCCAGCTTCCCCCCTCCAATCCACTTCGATTCCTCCCTCCTCTCCATTTTCGCTCCCCCCACTCCCCCTCCGTTTCGTTTCCCCCCTCCCCTCCATTTCGATTCCCCCATCTCCCCTCCGTTTCGCCCCTCGCATCTTGGTTTTGATTCCCTCCCCCTTTCTTCCATGGTTTCGACTCCCCCTCCCCTCCGTTTCGATCCCCCCTTCCCCTCCGTTTCGATCCCCCCTTCCCCTCCGTTTCGATCCCCCCTTCCCCTCCGTTTCGATCCCCCCTTCCCCTCTGTTTCGATCCCCCCTTCCCCTCCGTTTCGATCCCCCCTTCCCCTCCGTTTCGATCCCCCTTCCCCTCCGTTTCGATCCCCTCTTCCCCTCCGTTTCGATCCCCCCTTCCCCTCCGTTTCGCTTCTCCCATTCCTCGACTGTATTTCGAACTTCCCCCACCCCCCAACCCCCACTTTTTCCCTCCCCGTTTCGCTTCCTCTCTTCCCCTATGTTTCCATCCTCCCCCTTCCCCTCCGTTTCGCTCTCCCCCTCCCCTCGGTTTGATTCCCTCCCCTTTTTCCCCCCATTTTTTATTCCCCCCTCGTGTTGAAGGCAACCCTGAACGTGCTCGGTGAACCCTGGGATTTTCAGGGTTCCAGATTTCTGAACCCTTAGAAATCAGGGTAGGCAATTTTTGAAACCTGAGCCCTCAGGGTAAACTTTTTTTTTATTCGACAGCTCAGGGAGGGTTTTTTTGAAACGTCAGGCCTGTTCAAGACCCTAGGGTCATACCGTAATCACCCGGATAGACGCCCCTAGGGGCGTTTACTAGACTGGTTTGAAAACGTGGGGGGGCGTTTAATTGAATAAAAAATATAAGCCCATGGGCGTTTTAAAGGGATTATATGGAAAAATAAAGTTTGACATCGACATGTAGCTGCTGGTTTGTCGTGTGCAATGGGAGTAAATTTAGGCGAGGATTAAAAGTCAATCGCGTTGGAAGTCCAGTCAACGCGGTGCCAGACTGGAAACTTCCTTTTCTGATACGAATCGTGCTGGCGCGAGGTGTCAGGGAGCGTGAGTTCCGCCTCTGACGGGCACGAAGCGAGTAGCCTCGGTATTACCTGCACCCGTTCGGTCTATTTGTACAGTGTTTCAACTGAATTTCTGAGGGGGCTTATAGGGTACATGTTCTGAAAAAATAAGGGGGGCCTATAATCGAATAATGCCTATAAGTCCCAATGCACGAGTTAGAGCCCATGGGACTAATCCTACGGAGGGGCGTCTATCCGGGTGATTACGGTATATCCGGGGGTTTACGGTACTTTGGTTGGATGGGTTCGAAATGCTCATAGAGGGTAAACTCCTAGATCCTTTAGGGCTGGTTGTGACTTGGTTGGAGCTAACTTCTTGGATTCGATGGTGCCTCCTAAGAATTAGAACAGGTCCAACTTGGTTCCCAAGCATCCTACACCAGGGGAATACGGTATGCTAAACTTATACAATTATGCCCTGATATTGTGCTCTTATAAGAATGATAAGGCCAACTATTCTCCCTTATTTATAAGACTAAGTGTCATCTTAGGGGGCATTGGACAATACCCATGCGTCTTCTATCAGGGTAAACACAGTACTGCTGGGAGAAGACAAAAAAAAGCTCAGATCTAAGCAACTATACGTCATGGTAGGTTTTTTATGGAGCATGACAGCCCTAGCATGGTAACCTGATCATGGCCTCTACAGATGGTAGTAGCCTATGAATATGATCAGGTTGCCCTTGATTCAATCAACAAAAAAGAAGCAGAACATTGTAGGGTTCCACACCACCTCTTACTGACCCTGCATATCTGCCTTATTCCTAACCACCCTCCGCAACTCTTAACCCCTCTTCTCACTCCAATCCGTATCGTGGCTGTTGTCACTCCCATCACCCGAGTCGAGCCACAGCAGCAGTCGCTGGTGCAGTCTGTAGCAAGACACAAGATGAGGGGTCGGGCAGGCGGAGGAGAGATGGAGAGAGGGACAGAGTGGGTGAGAGGGAAGGGTGGGAAGAGAGGGGCAAAAGGGTGCAGACAGGAGAGTGAGGAAGTTGGGGGAGGGAGACCGGGGAGAAAGGGGAAAGAGTCGGAGAGAGGGAAAGGGAGCGGGAGGAAGCGACATACAGGGTGAGACAGCAGGAAAAGGAGGAGGAAGAGAGAGGGAGAGCGAGGGGATAGGGGGAGTGAGGGAGGCGGGAAGGAGTGGGAGCGAGGCGAAGCGAGCAGGAAAGAGGGGAGGAGGGGCTCGAGGCTGAAAATGGAAGAAATGAAGTGTGATAAGAGCCGAGACGGACACCAAAGCCACCTACATTATTCACTATGCAATATTATGGGTTACCTCTTACTTCCTTCGCTTGTAACGTGTTGGCCTGCCTTGTGCGCCACTGCCACTCTCCTCGTTCACCCCCCCAGCAGCGGAAACACCACCGTCCTCAGCAGTGCAAGTGACAGGCAGCTGCGTGCAGATGATCTGAGACGCGTGAATCTCTGTCTGACTCGCAGACACCTGCGACTCAAAAGCAGGTGCTGGCGTTAACGGCAGCTGTGTCTCCATTTGCTTCCTCTTGCGGCCCCTGCCAATGGTGACGCTGGTGCTCGCAGAGTTGGTGACCACCACCACACTGTCGTCCACCTTCTCCTTCCCCTTGCACACCCACATTCCATTGCCCTTTCCCTCCTCCTCCCTCCCTGCCACTGCCTTATCTACTGCCCTCTCACCTTCCTTCTCCTTCCCCTTCCCCATTCCCTTGTGATCCTTTTTCCTCTGCCCTCCAGACTTCCTGTTCTTCTCCATGCCCTTCTCTTCCTTCTCCGAGTGCACCTCTGTTTTGCCTCCCGGCTGCACCTCAAGCACCTCTTCCACATCATTGCCACACGCTGTGCCTTCTTTCTGCTCGCCCACATCCACCTTGTCCTTCGCCTTCTCACCCCCATTCCCCTTTTCGCCTTGCTCCACCTGCCTCCGCCTCTCCGCCTCGCTCATGACCTTCCACCGGCGCTGCGCCACATTGTACGCTATGAGCGGGCCAATGCGAGGGTTCGACTCTTGCATGATGCGCCCCACCTGCCCCTGGCACCACAATATCATGTCTCTCTTAGTAGTTCTTTCCCCCCCCCTTTGCTTGCCGGCACTGCCCTTCACCCCATGCATCTCCTTCCTCCCCAACCTGCCCTTCACCCTACCACCCGCATTACCAACACTCCTCAACTCCAGTCCCTCATCTGCCATCTCCTTGACCTTCCCCTTGTCCATCTTCGACCCACTCCTCTTCAGCCGTCTCCCGTGCCTCGCCCCTTCCTCTGCTACGCCCTCATCTGCTGTTCCCAACGGGCCCGCCATTGGGAGGGCAAGCGCAGTAGGGGGGGTGAGGGCGGGGGGAAGTGGTGCAGCAACAGGGGTGGGAGCTGGCGGTGCGACGACGGTAGGAGCTGCAGCTGCAGCTGCCGGAGAACGGGTGGTCGCGGTGGGAGCTGCAGCAGCGGCTGCAGTGAATGCAGCTGGCGTAGCAGCAGCACGGGCAGCAGCAGCGCGTGTAGTACCAGAAGCGGCGGGTGCAGCAGCAGCACGAACAGCAGCAGCGCGGGTAGTAGTAGTGGGTGTGGCAGGCGCAGCGCGGGTAGTAGTGGGGGGTGTGGCAGTCGCAGCACGGGTAGAAGTAGTGGGTGTGGCAGCAGCAGTGCGGGCAGCAGCAGTGCGCGCAGCAGCAGCGCGTGTAGTGGCAGGGGATGCATCAGCAGTGGCTGTGGCAGTCATGGGTGTGGAAGCAGTGGGTGTGGCAACAGCAGCACAAGTATTAGTAGTGGGTGTGGCAGCAGCAGTGCGGGCAGCAGCAGCGCGTGTGTTGGCAGGGGATGTAGCAGCAGTGGCTGTGGCAGTCGTGGGTGTGGCAGCAAAGGGTGTGGCAGCAGTTTGTGTGGTAGGAGCGCTTGGCTTAAGTGCCGGCTGCAGATGAGCAGCGGGAGCAGCAACCCTCGGGGGCGCGTTGGGGTCATACTGGGAGAGCACCCGGAGCAGTGTGCTAATCACAATAGGCGGCACACCATCTGTTGGGGGGAGACACAACAGACGGATGACGGACGGGGTAAAAGTTCAACAAGGGGACTTCAAAGATATTTCAACTGGAAGCAGAAAAGGCACACAGTGGGAACACTACCCCATTGACCATAGTCATGCGTCACAATCAGGACCCCACTGAATCAAACTAAATCTCCTTTAAAACAATGAAAGAGGTTCAGCTGCGCAAAGTGGAGCACATTTCAGTCTGCTACATAAAGGTTCTGGTGAGATGAAGGCATCTCAGAAGGCAGCCTCTCACCAGGCAGCACCTCACCTGGCGGCATCTCACCAGGCAGCATCTCACTTGGTGCCATCTGAGCAGGCGGCATCTGACCAGGCGGCATCTCACCTAGCGTCATCCCAACTGGTGGCATCTCACTAGGCGGCATCTCACCATGCGGCATCTCACCTAGCGACAGCTTACCACGCGTCGTCTCACCAAGCGACATCTCACCAGACGGCCTCTCACGTGGCGGCATCTCACCAGATAGCGTCACACGTGCCGAAATCTCACCTGGCGGCATCTCACCAAGCAGCCTCTCACGTGGCAACGTGTCACTAGGCAGCATCTCACCTAGCGGTATCTCATTTGGCGGTGTCTCACCTAACGGCATTTCACCAGGTAGCATCTCACCTAACGTAACATCTCACCTGCCTTCAACCACACACCACCACATCCCATCCAGAAAATCCACTCGCCCACTGGCCACCACCCATAACAAATTTGAACCTCCACCCAACTCCCTACCCTCAACCGCACTGCACTCCTTCCCATCTAGAATTATCAACCCTTCCTCTAATGTGCTCCAAGCTCCTCTCACAAGCACCTCCCCATCAATTACACCAACCCCAAGCTGCCGCTTGCCATTCCCGCGCGCCATTTCAGCAAGAGAAACCTAGCATTTAGCTTACCCTTTTCCATTTTCACTAAGTTCAGGGCCCGCGCCGAGGAATTCCATCCTCGCACCCCAAACGAGGCGAGGCAAGGATTCCTCGCCGAAGATTTATGGGGAAAACAGATCCTCGATTCTTGGATTTTGGAGGCGAGGATTCCCCGCCTCGAGGGGGGTATTCCTGAGTTTGGGGCATATGTGCCTGGAACGAGCTATCCATCGTTGTGTTTTGAACATCACGACAAATTGGGAGCATTCCATTTGTCCGCACATCGTTAGTTCGACATCGCGTATGAAGCGTTTCAAGCCCAACAAGCCCCCCACCCCACCGCATTAAATGTCACATCACCTCCCTAACCCCAACCTAACCAATTCGACATTGTTATTAGGTTTGGAGAAAACAAAAATGTTACCGCATTCAATCTCACATCACCTCCCTAGCCCAACATAACCAAATCGACATTATCAGGACACAAACCCAGCCCCCCCCCCCCACCGCATTCAATCTCACATCACCCCCCCAACCCAACCTTTCAGCTCTACGACTAGCACTCACCAGAGAGTTGTAGAGCAGAGGGGGAGCTCCTATCTGTAAATTGTATTCCCCCCACTAACCAACAGCCGAGGATTTTCTAGGGAATCAATCCTCAAATCGCGAAATTCCGAGGCGAGGAGTTCCTCGCCTCGTTGCTCATGTCTACTCACCAGGAAGCATCTCACTTGGCACCATCTGACTCGGCAGCATCTCACCTGACGACACCAGGCGACATCTCACCGGACAAGACATGGGCTTAACACCGAGCCGAGCCGAGCCGGATTCTAGCTGGGCTTCATTCAAGCCGAGCCGAGTCGAGCTGGCTTCGGCTCGCTTCAGCCGAAGGTTTGCTCGGCTCGGTGAAGTCGGATTCGAGCCGAAGCCGA